ACTCCTGGGCTGAATTCAAATGGGGTTGAGTCCCTGTGTTCCATACTCCTCTGACCTCCCTGCAGGGTGAATGCTGTTCTGCTTCCTCACTGTCCATCCTACTGAACTTTCCACATTTCAGGGTTCTCAGATTGCTCTCCTAGATTGTCAGGTTAATAAGATGAATGTAAGGAGTAACCATCTTGTTTTTGCGGCACTCATGTAGGTGATCCTACTTGTGATGAAGCAGCTTGTATATTCAATGCATGACATTCAAAAGTGTATCTGAGAGGTTGATTTGTTTCCTCCTCTCTGGTCTCAGACTATGCACTTTGATCCTGGGACAATTAGTCTGGGGAACAGCATTTCTCTCTCGTTCTCTCATCTGATATGTCTTCTACTCACTCAAACCATAATAGTGAAGAAATTCCTTGACAATCCATTCAGTTTACAAGGGACGAGAAAGTAAAATAAAATGTTTGTAGAAGTCTTAAGAAACACAAAATCAGCCCAGTTTCCTTTATCTTCCCAGGGAGTATCAGCATTGACACTCAAGGAGTATAATACATTTCAGAGTTGCCTACTGTCTTAGTTATTTTAATCACTGGGACACAGCACCTAACACCCACAGCTCTAAGGAGGAAAGATTTATTTTGACTCCTAGTTTGAATTGGTTTCAGTCTATAGTTGAATGGCTCCAAGGCAGGGTAGCATGGCAGAGGGGCATGGCTGAGACATGTTACTGGAAGCAGAGAGAGATCAAGGAGCAATGAGGTGATAGACACTGCCAGCCCATATTCCCAGTGAGCCACCTCTTCTGATTACACTTCTCCTCCTAAAGACAAGTCACCTATAATCCCCATAATGCTTCACTTTCCAATTGCCCCATCTATATGAGGCTTTGTGAAATATTTTAGATACAAGCCACAAAATCTACTAAAATAAAACATTAGTGTAAGGTAAGGAAAGGTGAGAGTTAAGCTGTAAGTCACTCTCAGCACTCAGAGAGCTCCCAGCAACATCAGTAAGTCAAATCCAGTTCTATCTACTCCATATTTGTCTACCACAGACTTCTTCCTTTCTCAGTGGTCCTTTGCCCAGTTTGCAGTGTGGCCAATGAGAGGACCTGTTATCCTCTGTTTATTCATAACAGTTTGCTTTGCCTTCTGCCAAGGATCACGGTGTGAGTTGGATCCAATGCATGGTCACTGTGAGGGCATAGTTATGAATGAAGACACCATCTGTGACCCTGGTTTCAGAGGATGTCTGTCCATCAATTTCCTCAGCACTACTGTTATATTTCAGTACCTGAATCTTTTCTGCAAGGACTTTGCACTTTGGGTTGCCATTGCAGATACAGAACTTAGCTCGTAGGAGACAAAGCTAGTTTGTACAATCAGATGGATCAGTCACCACATCAGTAGTGCTCCCCCTAAGAGCTCAACTTTAAAAGTTGAAGCAGACCTTTTCAGCCTTTGTTCTGAGTGTTTCTTAGTTCATATTTGCCTGAAGTTTACTCATAGATATGGATTTGTGGAAGAACTTCACAAGTATAAATGTCATTTTTATTGAATAATATCAAGGCCACAACCTGGGACAGCATGGAGTCACATGTACATGGCTCCAGAAATTTGAAGTTGGGATCCACATGAACAGAGAAAAGCCACACAAAGATATTCCTTTACATGAAATGGTAGCACATGTTAGAAACTCACCATTTTACCACCCACTTTATTCCACTAGAAGGTCATACCCCAAAATCCTGTTATTTTGCACAGTCTGTGTTTGTCAGATATTGGTGAAAATTCCAATGTTGCAACACTATGTTAACAAAGTTTCTCTTTTAGATTTTTTAGTGTTGTTGTTGTTTTGTTTTTTGTATCTGAGCCACTCTTTACTGTAGTTCTATCACATGGCTTTTCTCTTCCTCTCTCCGTTCATAATAAACCATGAGATTTCATGGGAACTGTTTCACCTCTGATGACCTTCTACATGTTTATGGTCTGGTAAAAATATGTGTGCTGAAGGCCAGAATTATTCCTCTAGCAACAGTGTCAAAGTTCCAAGCCTGTATTCAATGCCCTGTAATCACAGATTGAGAAAGTAAGTGCTTCCAGCACTTAGGACCTGGTCTGCACATGAGATTCTTGAATCATTACAAGGAACTTCTGCGGTGCATTCTAAGTGTCCCTGGTTTTTCTGATGAAAGCTGAAGCTAGATAAATTTAATAATGCCCCAACTTTACAGAGACGGAAAAAGAGAGAGAGAGAGAGAGAGAGAGAGAGAGAGAGAGAGAGAGAGAGAGAGAGACACCAAAGTGCATGTGTGTCTCCAGATTGGGTACTCAGACCCTGTCCTCTGGACTATCTACTCTACCTGAGAGATTTAATTCTCTAATCTATTATCCCTCCCCAAAGGGTTTCTATGCACTGAACCTCTACCTGCTGCCATATTCCCACTCCCAACAAAGTTGCTCTCTCAGACATATTGAATGGGAATAATTGCTTTCTTACCCAATCAAGACTCCGAGTGTTCCAGTCTAATATTCAATCTTATGTCATGGAGTCACACATGGAATAATTAATGAAGAATGGAACTATACCCTTTCACAATACTAAGGCTGGTAATTCTAAGAGCATATCACAAAGATCTAGTGAGACCATTTTCTGCATGATATATTCTTGAATGCTGGGTAACTATGTGTGTAACAGAAAGCAAGAGGTGGTCCTGTTTTATAACATGCCCACCCCATTTTCATATTAATAACATCATTCTATTCAGGAGAACATCAACTATTAGGAAGTCCCATATGGCAACACTGTCTCATTAGATATTCTGTTCCCAAAGTATAAACTTTAGGGCATATTGAATTTTACATTGGGCCACTGATTTGAAATCTCTGACATGTCAGAGGAAGTAACCCACAGTGCATGATGGTTGCACTTATCCTTGAGTGTCCAAGCCCTAAACACAGAAACCTCAGTTCCAGTCAGTCTCCATTTATTGCTTTATAGTTGATCACCTGATCAGGATCCAATTCTATTACACTGAGCATGACAGATTGCAATAAAGTGTGAAAAGGTAAGTCAAGTGTCCATCGATATTTAGCAATGTTGAAAGGCCATGCCAAGGAGTGAGAGAAGACATCTGGAAATGCTTATGTATAAATGAGACCAGAAACCTGTGTATTTATGATTTAGTAAAACAGTAACATAGAGAATCAACTTACAGATAGAAGAGACAACATGTGTATTTCGGGATACATGCAGATGAAAGTCATGATGTTACATTGTGTCAATCTATTAAGGATTATTAGAATGTTTTCCCAGAAATCATTGTCATACACAACTTCACATCATTGGAATACTCTTCATGGGTTCTTCTGAGTTACCACCTAGAAGTGTAGCTGGTAGCTAATCAAGAGTCCTTCATTAGTTTGCAAAATTCTGTGCAATAAGATTCCAGGTGTCTATAGCCATGGGCTGGTATTGAGCATGCATTCATGGTGAGATGTCTATATGTACTGGGTCACCCCTGTTTATATAGATTGTAGAGGAAAAAAGTCATTGTGATATGCAAAGAATTGCTGCAGTCAAACTGAATTATGTGCACAGGAAGGAAATCTGTTTAGAGTATTCACACAGAAAAAAACTCATTTGTATAGTTTTCTGAAGAAAGAATTGATGTATTTGAAAGTTTATTGTTAATAGATACCTAACAGGAATTGTACTAAGTTTTTGTTGTTGTTGTTGTTGCTCTTGTCACAGGGAAAAATTCTTGACATACAAAGCAAATGAAAAAGTGTATTTTTTCTCATTATTTCTGAGACTGCAGTCTTGCTTGGTCCTATTCTAATGCAGAAATACCATGGTAAGTATTAATAAAGAACAAAGACACCGACTTTAAGAGACCCAGGATGCAGAGAGAAGGGAAATAGACTGAGAGGGAGGGGCCAGGGACCAGATTTGGTCCCTCTGGTCATACCATCATGACTCAGTCAGACACATCATGAAGTGTGCTTTACTAATATCCCATACATCTTGCAAACCAAACAAGTTATTAATACAAGTGTGTCACCTGACTCCATGTAATTTTTTTCTAGGAATGTTAATGTTGAAAGGTGGAGAATTTCAATCCATGATGAGTCACAACAAGCCATGGGGAGCTTACAGTCTAAAGTCTTTTTGTAGCCCAGCTTCATCACCAGGAAATGATCAGATAGATCAGATATGGGGCTGTTTCAGCAACCTTCCTGGCCTTCATGCTGGGAAATATGTTTATCTTCAGAATTCAAGTATTTTTGTCACCATGAATAAACTGTGAAGGTTGTCTGAGGGAGTTGGTGCCCCCGCTTTTTTTTTTTTTTTGTGGTACCAGGAATTGAACTCAGGACCTTGCTGTCTGAGGGAGTTGGAATGCTTGCTTTTCTTTCAACTTTACCTTTTGCAGGATGTTGCAGTCATGCAACTCTAATTTCTTCATTTACACAATAACTGTTCCTCTTATAGGCCATATATCCATTTTCATGGATAAAAATGAGTAGATTGAGAGAAAAATGTGAGTCTTGGTAGTGAAATTGACTACCTCATTCCTAACAGCAGGGCCTCCCTCAATTCCGTTTTAACCTAGCCTGGCCTGGATTCATAATGTTTTCCACCATCAGGGGATTGGTTTTTCCATAGAACATTGACCCTGGAACCTTCTGAGCATTTTTGTCTCATTTTCAGGAAGAGTCCCCTAGAAAACTAGGGCAGCTGTGTAAAGCCCTTAAATACAAGCATTCTTCAGGCGAGGTGAGATTGACCTTTACAGAAAGCGACTGCTCCGGAATTCCCTGGGTTACAAGCTATCACTTGAGTCAACCCCGCCCGCCCCCGCTCTTAGAGGTTTCTTTCTCTCCTCACATTCAACCCCGCTTTCTGGCAATGGAGCAGGAGCCAATCAGCGATTAAAGCGCGGGCTGTCTGAACTACCCAATCAGGTGGGCCGAGGGAGGCGGGCACTTCCTGTGTCATGGCGCTGAAGTGCTCACTGTGAGTGCGTTGCTGAGAGTTTTCCCCTGACTAGAACGCCTTTTGCTGTAATTTCTACTGGCTGTGAGCTATATTCGAAGTATCCTGGGAGACCCTCAAGCCACGCAATGGTGACGTTATGGGATGGGAGGTGGGGATGGGATGGAATAGGGTGCGTTCCAGACGGGAGTGGTCAGAAACAGCTATCGGAATCTATGCACGCCTCCCTGCTTTGCTCCAGACACGCCGAGGTCTTCCTATTTTTTGGTGCTGCATCATCATCTACAAAATTTTCCCCTTTGCTCAGGCAGGGACATTTCTGGGTCCCGAGCATACAGACACCTTATTGTGACACTGCTGTTCTTTTTCATGAGGTAGGGGGTTGCGACAGGGTCTCGCTGTGTACTTCAGGCTGGTCTTAAACGCGCAGCAATCCTTCTGCCTCAGCCTCCCAACTTCTGGGATTACAGGCGTGCGCCTCCACACCCGTCCACCCCAGAGTACCTTCTTGGTCATTCCCAGGCACAGCTATATCTCCACCGGTCTGCAAAGAGCAGGAGTTTGGGGAAAACCCTGGGTTTCATACTCCACAATGAAAAAAATAATTTAATTTTTTACATGAGACGTCTACTTGCAAATGTATTAATGCGGGAACACAGCTCGTGGTCTCACAACACTGAGAAATGATGCCGTGAACCAAAAGAAAGATGTTAGGAGAGGTTTTATTGGAAATAATTATAATAACTCTGATTTTTGGAAGTGTCCCCAATGAGTGACCCTGTAGCCAGTCAATCCAGAGCTAATTACAAATAGGCAGAATATAGTAACTACTCAGTTGTTTAGTAGGGTCCAATTACAGATGCCTCTGTGGATTTAAAACAACAGCTTTGAACTCGGGCTGTCCCATTTCCTCAGCATGCATTGTTAAAAAGAAACTGAGATTTCAGAGAAACACTGGATAGTTTGTATTTTAGTTACCTAGAAACTCAGAGCTTAGTAGGGAGTGCTGCAACTCTTTAGTAGGGAGGGTCTCCATTCACTGTTGGGCAGAAAGTTCATTGTTGGTCCCGTCTTCTAGGTAATTCTAGTCTCATTTTAATTCCTATCAAAATGGCTAATTTCCAAACTCTTATTCATGCTCTTCCCTAGCTAGGTAACTTATTTATATGCTGATAAAACAAATTATTCTTTACATTTAGACTGTTTATATGAGGCTTTCCATAGAATATAGAATACAGAAAAAGATGGGGGCATGTTAATGTATTTTCACGGGAGGGAAAAGTGTTCCTGCTAAAGAGAACTTCCTGAAGGGGCTGCCTGTTAAACCCACACTGAGAAAGGCTTTGAAATGCGGCATCTACAGGGATGTGTACATGTGATATTGGTATGAGTGGAAAGGGAAAGGGGAATCATCTCTGAAATAATTGCTTCACAGTCTGGGGGCCAGGGGTATACCTCAGTGGCACAAGTGCCTGCCTGGCAAACACAAGATCCTAAGTTTGATTCTTGGTACCAAACAAAAACAAACAAACACAGTCTGTGAACTCTTTCTAGACATTGTTTTTAAAATTGAAACACTGAATGAAATGTGTTTTATGTAAAAGAAGTACTTGGCCCAACATGGTTGCCCATGCTTGCTTGTAATCCCAGCATTTAGGAGGCTGAGGCAGGAGGATGTCTTTGAGTTAGAGGCCAGCCTGGGCTACAAAGTGAGTTCAAGTCCAGCCTGAACTGCATAGTAAAACCTTGTCTGAAAAAGACAGAAGTACTGAAGTAGGGGTAAATTCCCATAGTTAAGTACAGTGGGCACTTGAATGAATAGAATAAAAGGATTTTTTTAATACGCAAGAGCAAATGGGATAGGAGGATTTGAGAGGGTGGCAAAAATCAGCAGCTACAAGAGTAAACTTCTCCAGAAGTCAGCTTGTTCTTAGTGTGATAATAAATGAAGGAATCTTTGCTGGCCTGTTCTGAGATTAGGTCAAAGGTGACAGGCTGAAAAAAGGAGGGGAACTTAGTAACATAAATATTTCTTCTGTGGCTACTGATCAGCTCACCTAATCATTTTTGAGACAAAATTGGAAATTAGGTAAGTGCCTTTTTTGTAGGTTTAAAAATAGGGCAGACATCATCACTGATATGTAGAATGGGAAGGGGTTTCTCTTCGATATAAAAGATTTTAAGGTGTTTGATCTTTTTCATTGTACACGGAGTGAACTGGAGAATTTTACCCTGAGCTACATCCCCTCAAGTTTATTGTTTTTTGTTTGTTTGTTTTTACTTTTTGAGTCTAGAGCTTATTAAGTTACCCAGGCTGGCGAGAAAATTTGATAGTTTCCACCTTCCTGACTGTTAGGAAGACAGACATGTGCTGCATTGCTTATTGAAGATTGGGATGCTTAAATCACCATGATTTACCAGGATTTCAGTGCTTAGGTAAAATAAGCATCACTGAGGATTGGAGGTGCACACCTTTCATGCCAGCTACTTGGGAAACTTAGACAAGAGTCTGAAATGACCAAGGCTAGGCTGGATAACCAAGCAAGACCTTTTTTCAGTATGAAATATTTTGGGGTGTACCTCAACTCTAACATAATCTGTCTGATGTGCATGAGGCCCTATGTTAGGTCTCTAGTAATGAAGGAAAAAGGAAACATTGTTTAGTGCAAATCTTGCTTTTAATTTTGATATTTAACTCATTTTTCAAACTGGTGGTATGTGGTACAATAGTTCGTCATGGTGCTGGATAGCAGTATGAGTCACTGCTCAGTCAGAAACAGGACACCTAGTGTGAATAACTACTCATTTATAATTTACTGTGTTCAGTAACATACATGAAACACTTAATGTTTATTGTAAATTTTGCTTTTTGCTACATAAATTTCCCCCAAAACACATAAGCCATATTGGTTGACCAGGTTCAAGAATCCAAGTCCCAGCCATGTTCGCTTATATTCTGTGCCTTTTCAGCACATTTTATCTTCAATTACCTTTGGGTTGATGAAGATATTTTCCCTTTCAAAGTCAAGTAGAATCGGTAGAGTCATTCCTTCAACGCTTCATATAGTTCTGTATTGAACATGATACTCATCTTTTAGTATCATGATAGATGATACTCATCTTTTAGTAAAAAGATATTAATCTTTTTTTCCTGAGCAACCAAATTTTCTCCCAATGACAGTATAATAACTGTTAATAACTGCATAATTGCTGTTCACTTGTTAATTGTATAATAACTGTATTTAAATGTTTAAATAACTGTATTTAAATGTTCTTGTATTAGAACTGTTCAGAAAAGGGGAAAATAAGCTGGGTTTTTTCCTTTGCTTTGTTTTCATTTTTTTTTTTTTTTTCTTCTTATTATAAAGAGCTGCCCCATGCTGGTCACCATGTTTGGATTAAATAACCAAGACAAGGGGCTAGTATGGAAATTACCAATGAAAAGACACAGGCTGAGTAGGTAGAACACCAGACACCAAGCATGTGCAAGATTGAAGAGAAAACATTTCCATTTCTAGTTTTACTTTATGCCGGTTATGGAAACCCTTCTAACTGCTTTAACCTTGATCATCATCCTTTCCACACTGGAATTACTCGTCCTGCAAGCACTTTAACTCTGAAGCCTTTATCTATACTCTATTATCATACGTTAGAAAGTATGCATTTCCTAAGTGCAATACATATTGTACACGAGGTTATTTTATTTTCATAATGACCTCATGAGCTCCACTTTTATTTGACATAGTCATTCCTGGTGAATCACTTGATAGAAAAAATTTAATGCATTCTCATTTGACACAGCTAAAATGAGACAAAAGGCACATTTGTGTCTTCAGATAGAGAACTGGATGCCTGTATCGGTCTGTCCACTCTGCTGGGACATTTTAGTCCTTAATTTATAAGTCCTTATTGGAAGTCTGTGTCCATTATTTCTATTGCTCAGAGAGACTGAACTCTGGAGCACTCACCAGAAATGCCATATCTTCATGGGCTGGCTGAGGAAGTTCTGGGAAATAAAGGAAGTGATGAGAAAACTCAAGAGCTTAAAAGATAAGGTTCAATATGAGAACCAAATATTTTTTGATATACTCAGATGGAATTTGTATAATACACAGTGTGAACATTTTCAGGGACAATTTGTTTTGGATATGGTGCCATTGTTAACATCTACATATTCTTGCAGGTAATCTTTTTTAATTCATTTGACTATACCTACAAGTGTCATTGGTGCACAATAAACCAAGTCTCCCTCAGCTTACATACATGCTGTGAAAAATTTTCCAGGTGTCTGTTGCAATGAGGTTAAGTATCACTTTATGGCCAGATGCCTTACTGTGCAGAGTTTGTGCTTGCTGATTAAAGAGCACACTCTAAGAAACTTAGGTTTTGGGGGAAACCCAGAAAATTGTTGAGTGTGGTGTACTTAACCTGGACTTTGGTGAGTTGCCAGATTTGGGACTAATGTGAAATGAGAAATGAACAGTGTGAGTTGTCACACAAGAGGAGAAATGAGTAGCACTAATTTTATTCACAATACTTTCAGCAAGTGTGTACTGTAGTTTGATTCTATACCTACAACAAACTCTTCAGCTCTGGAGACAGGAACTATGTCTCTAATAATTCCACTAAATTCAGATACTGTCTCAAGTTAAAGTCTGAATTCACCGGTGTGCTTGTGCAGTTCTACTAGAACTCTTTTAGATCTTAGGCTAGTCAAATTTGTCTTCCTGTATCACCTTTTACCCAGTGTAGCCAAAGAGACTTTTTCACAACCCCTCTCCTGTTCTTTTCTAATTTCTAGAATGAATCATAGGACTCAGGACAACAGTTAACTTTTGTGCATATTTCAGTGTATGGTGGAAGAGCAGAGTGGACCTTGAGTATTCTATCTGGTGATCTCAAAATCTTCATGCATCTCAGGGTTAACCAACCCTAAAGTTATGGATAAAACATAGTTTAAGGGTTTTTGAGGAAGACTTTGTTTTGTACAAATTTAGTTAGCTCTTTATCTTTGATTAACT